CTGGCTGCGTGGGGCCCTGGTTTTTGTGTGTGTAGAGGAGGCCCCCGAGTAGAGCCCCTGCCCCCGGTGGTGTTTTCTTTTTGTTCTGGTTTTGGCGGTCAAGAGGGACGAGAGCGCGTGAATAGGCAGGCCAGGCGAAGTGGCGCCTTTCGTGCGGCTCTCGCATAGATCGGTTCGCAGTCTTCTGCGCCGCTGTGTTGCCTAGCCAGGGGCTGGGAGAGTGTCCCGGTTGGCGTGAGTGAGGGATCGAGGCGCGCGCGGAGGAACAGACGGACGTAGAGCCGCGCGCCCATCCCTGCGCTGTGTTTCGGCCCGGTCAGGGCCCCCGGTGCTCGTCCTTTATCGGGCGAGCCGCCCACAGTGTAACACCCCATCAACAACAACAACAACAACAACAACAACAACAACAACAACGATAACAGCAACAACAGCATCCGCAACCACGCTGCAGCAGCGGCACTAAACGCCGGCGGCGGCGGCGTGGAGCCCAGTTACACACCGAATTCGTCCACGCCAAGATCCGGTTCCGTCGGCAATGCACAGGTCAGGTACAGCTCCGCCGGCGGCGGCGCTACTGGCGGCACCGCCGCCGTCGCCGCCGCTGCCGGCGGTGGTGGCGATGACTTGTACTCCTTTGAAGCCACAGGTTCGGGACGGTCGGTGATGGAGTACCAAGCCATGACGTCAGCGCTGCCGCCGCCGTCGCCACGCCGCCGCCGCCACGACGGCGACGGCGGTGCCCGCGGGCTCAGAGGGCATCGCGGGGTTTACAGCACACGCGGACGATAACACGATACGGCAGGTGGGGGCTGGGAGGGAGGTGGTCGATTGCTGCGGGGTGTGTGGGGGGCGGCCAGTAGGTGGGGGTGGGGGGTGGGGGTAGTCGGGGGGAGGGGGAGGGGGAGGGGATGATGGTGTCACCGGCGCTGAGAGCGGCGCTGCGACAGGCCAAGCTTCGATCACGCTGCTCGCAGTCCGTTTCGCAATTCGATTCTCAGTCGCAGCTACAGCTCCCGCAGCAGCAGGAACGGACCCGTGGGTCGTTTCTGCTACAGCCCAACACGCTCGTGTCTTCCTCTGTAGCGTCGTCCGCCGCAACCTCGGCTGTAGTCGTCACCATTGGCACCAATGTGCCGTCAGCTGGAGTGAATTACGGGCTACAGTCGCAACAGCCGCCGCCGCTGCCGTCGCGGGCCAGCCTGGCGGCGGCGCTGGCGCACACAGGCGACGGCTCGCTCAGCGCCGCATCCTGGCTACAGCCACCACCGCCGGTGACGCCGCCGCCACCGTCGCGAAACAGCGTCCCGCAGCAGCAGCGGGCGGAGCAGCAGCAGATGTTGACTCAACAGCTATCCGAGTCGTACGGATCTGAATCTACCGTATCCACGTTGCAAAACATGTACGGCGGATCTACAGGGCTGAGGCCGCAGCTGCAAGCCGGGACGTGGGGTCAGGAAAGGTCGATGCCGACGCCGACGCCGCCGCCGACGACGACGCAGCAGCAGAGGCAGGCGGAGGTGTTGGCGGCGACGGCAAAAGCGGCGGCTGAGAGGCACCAAAGTCCGACGTCAGCGGAGGTGGCGGCGGCGTTCGCGGCGTACCTGTCGGGAGGTACGGCGGCGGTGGCGGAGGCGGTGGCGGCGGTGGCGGCGGCGGAGAGCGGCTACCGGGTGCTGCTACAGCTGGCAGCCGCCAGGCCCCCCGCGCGCCGGTGATTCCTGTGCAACCACAGTAGCGAAGTGGCTCGCCGCAGCCGCCGCCGTCGCCGTCGCCGCAGCTGCCGTCGCCGTCGCCGCAGCTGCCGTCCCCGTCGCCGCAGCTGCCGTCGCCGTCGCCGCCGCCGCCGCAGCAGCAGCAGCCACCGCCATCACAGGTCGAACCTGCTGCCCCAGGAGGGGGAGGAGGGCGGCCTGGCGTATCCGGCAGTCGTACGACACCGCTGCTGTTGCCGTCGCTGGAGAAGTCGCCAAGTCGCCGAAAAGGTTCACAGCTGGCGGCGACGGCACGTCCTCACTGTACGGCGGCGCCCGTGTAGCCACGGCGGCGGCGCCTTCCGCCGCTGATCGCGCTACTTGGGCGCTACAGGGTGGTGGCGGCAGCCGCCTCAATGACGTGCGTGGCGTGCTGCGTGATGGAAAGGATGGTATCGGAGCGGGATGCCGTGATGTCCGGGAAGCCGAGCCAGAGAGGGTGTCTCTGTCTCCTGGGCTTCGACTCCGCCTCCGCCAGGATCTGGGCGCGGAGACCGCAGCGGCAGCGGAGGCGCGAGGCGGCGGAGGCGAAGGCTCGGAGAAGGGCATTACCCTTGGCGGCGGCGACAGAGGCGACGGAGATGATGAAGACGACGGAGGCAGTGGCGGCGCCGAAGAGGAAGTGGAGCCGAGTGCTGAAGCTCCCGCCGCCGCCGCCGCCGCCGCCGCCACTGCCTCAGCCGCCGCCACGGCTCCCACAACACCCGCCAGTGCGTTCCGCAGCGGCAACCAGTCGGGCAAGTCGTTGGGCGGCGCTGGCAAAGGTAACAAGTTCCGGGAGAAGTACGGCACCAAGGCGGCAGCCATGGGGCTTTGTACGGCACCTGATCGCAGCAGCCGCCCCGCGCAGACGGCACCAGCGACCCTTAGGGCGCAGATGCGCGCGGCGGCAGTGCTGGCGGCAGCGGCGGCGGCAACTCCGGCGCTCGCGTGTTGTCAACCGTCATCGCGGGAAGCGCGGGTCGCATCAGCGGCGACGGCGTTGCGTCGCCGTACGTCCCACGTGGATCAATGTCAGCCCGGTTGCCGTCACCCATGCGGCCCAGAGGGGATTTCGGTAGTTACGGCAGCGGCGGCGGCGGCGGCGGCTGCTTGGCCAGCGGCGGCAGCTTGAGCGAGGGGCTTTTCGCCAGCGGCATGATCGTCCTTGGCGGCAGTGGCGACTCGGCGGAGATGTCCAAGCTGCCGCCAGTGTCGGAAATCCCTATGCCGTACTCGATGTTGGGAACGTACGGCTCCGGCGTTGGCAGTATGCGAGGCCGGCTGGTATGCCCTGTCGTGGAGGAAGACGGAAAGGGAGAGGGAGAGGAGGCAGGCGACGTGCCGCCACCACCGCCGCCGCCGCTGGCGTCTCAGCAGCAGCGGCATCAGACGACACCGCAACAGACGCGATCCGGCAGCGGCGGCGGCGGCGGCGGAGCCGCCGCCAATGTCACGGTTCCCCAATTTGGGTCGCGTGTGTCGTCCGTTGTTCACATTTCCGTACTGAACTGCATGCCTGTTTACCCGCCGCCGCCCCTCCATAACTCCAATCCTTTGCTCGTCTTTCCCCCCTCCCTCTCTCCCTCCCCCGCAGCTCCCTTCAGCATGTGGTCGGGTGCGGCCGTCTCCACCCTCTCCGCCTCCTCACAAACCGTGAGGTCGCTTCCAAGCTGCCATCCAAGTCCTCACGGCGCCGCCAGGGCCCAACACCCGCCCGCCTTGTCGGGCGGCGGCGGCGGCGGATCTCACAGGCAGTTGCTGACGTCAATGTCATCGATCTCGTCCACTGCTACCGCCGCCCCCTCTCCCGCCGCCGTCGCCACGCAGTCGCCGCCAGCGCCGCCGACAACTCCCGTACAGCTATCACCGCCGACAGACGCTGCGGCGGAAGGCGTTACAGCGAGCGGCGATGTACGGGACGGATGCGGCGTCAATCGGGTGCCGCAGCGGCCCTCAGACATCGCGGAGCCGCCGCCGCCGCCATCGGGCCGGGCGCCGGTAGGTGCGGCGGTAATGGCGGCGGCAGCCAGACCAACGAACCAGCTGCCGTACACACCGGTACGACGCAGGTTGAAGCTCCACCCCGTGGGCTTGTCGAAGGCCTTGCGCACCCAGCAAACGTAAGCGGC